ATTTTTTGGTGTTGGTGTGTGTGTGTGTGTGTGTGTGTGTGTGTGTCATATTGACAAATCTCCCACGCTCGGCTCTGCTAGGGTTTCAACCCATGTCGAACCCTAGCAACCTTATCGTATAAGATCATTTCTCCGGTGTTGTCTCTCCGTCCTCTCCGTCGTCGTCGGCTCGCGCTGCTTCGACGTTCTCGTTGTCTCTGTTCGAAGCCGACAGAGTTCGCATCTCGTCGTCTATGTTTGATTACATCTCACGGAAGACAGGAAGGGGCCGCGTCTTCCTCCTTCGTCTTCCTCCTCGATCACTCACAGAAGACGGGAAGGGGTTGCGTGCTCGTCTTCCTTCTTGACTCAGCTCGACAACACTAAGTGTTTGATCTCTTCGGTTCCTTACCGTCTTCAGTTCGTCATTCTTGCCCTCTGAGCGAATTGGCAGGGCTTCTAATTGATGTGATGAAGCTTTTTTCTTCTTCGGTTGAACTTGAAAAAACTATTTTTTCCCATGTGGTGGGTAATCCTCAAAAGTGGAGACGGCGGTTATCTTCCCCTCAAGTTATAAGAAATATGGTGATGGTACATGTGACGGTCCATTTATTAAGAATGCAAGTAGGAAAAGAGGGAAAACAACACTTTTTATCGGAGTTAGAAATTTCAAACCTGATTGACAAATTCAAATTTGCTCTTATTGGAAAATTTCAATTGGGGCACCCACCTATTGAACTTATCAGGAAAAGTTTTGATTTTTTTTTCTTGATCATATATGTATCTTTCCTTTTTTGTTTTGGGATTTTGAGTGTGTTGTACCGTGTGATTTGGGTGCTTTGTGCTTTTTTTGGGCCCACTCATACAACCTATCTGTATCATTTTCTCTTTAGTATATTTGCCCTTAGGCTTTTTTAAAATATATATTTTTTAAAAAAACCCAAGGGCTAATATATTAAAGATAAAATGATACAGATAGGTTGTATGAGTGAACCCAAAAATAGGCACCCAATCCACACGGTACAACACAAAAAACTCAAAAAAAGAAAGGGTATATATAAAAATAAAAATAAAAACCCAAAACCATCAAGGCACGGAAAAAATGAGGGTCAAACCAAATTAGTCTTGCCTCTGCCTCTAGTTCTCGGAAGGGATCCAGATAACAAATTGGTGAGGTGCACACAATCACTCGAAGTAACCAAAGTATCATCCATAAGATTCATGAGCTCAAGTAGATCTTCATTCTTCTTCTTGCTTCTGGAAGTGTAAACCTATCATTCTCCATCCGAAAAATAAGTCTGATGAGGTGGTAGAGTTGTAGCAGAAGGATTACCAACTGTTGTACTTACAATAGGTTCTAGTATATGTGAAGTATGAGTTGTCGCCTCTACATCGGATACTTCCTGAAGATGAGGAGTTGCAAGGTCCTCCTGATTATCAGTCTGAACACTATCCTTTGTAGGTAATAGTCCTTCAGTATTATTTTCAATAGGGTTTGAAGGTGTAGGTTGCCCAGCAGAGCAATCCTTCATCACATCAATCACAGAAACAGTAATAGTAGTATCAGGGGGGTCCACAGCGGCAATTAAATCAGACACCAAATCCTGTCTTACAGTAGTTTCCTCCCCAAGTGGAACAGATATGTCCAGAGCAGTAGGGTTAGACCCATTTTTATTCACTTGAACCTTAGATTTCAAATTAGGATGGAGTTTGTGACATTTATCAAGGGAATGCCCAAACAACTTATAATAGGTACAATAAGGAGGCTGTGTTCCATGACGATTTGTTGCCAATATACATTATGAGTTGTGGCCAATCAGACTTCAGTAACATCAGGTAAAGTAATATCTTTTTCCACAAGTATTCTGGCCACACAGAAGGTCTGGTAAGGTTGAAAGTGGGTAGATTCTAGCTTTCCAAGAATGACCCCAATAGAGTAGAGAACCTAATGATGAAAAAAGTGCAGCTTGAGACCAGGTAAACTAAACCATACCGGTAAAGTGGGAGTTTCATGATTTGGGTCGAAATCAAGAGGCCACTAGAGTAACTTCATTGACTTTCTTGCAATATTAAAATATTTCTTGAATAACATCCCGGTGTAGTCTTCAACCACGGTTAGTTGAATCAACACATATCTCCCATCCATGAATCTCACTTTCCACTTGCCTACTAGCTTGAGATCATCAACACTATATATATCTGTGCATGTGTGTGTGTGTACGCTCGTGTATATATGTAAGAACCGTTTAGGTGACTTAAGTGGTCATCTTGATGATGAAGTGAGATGATCAACTCAAGAGTCTTCCTAACAATCCCAAGACTAGTGAAGGATTTTGAACTAATTGTCATCCACTCGAGATAACTAGAGAAGGAAGTTTGGCCCGTTGTTTTCTTGTTTTTTTCCTTAAATATGAGGACAAAGAGGACAGTCATGACCCTATTTCCTTAATTCTGACATTGCAATTTGGCAACAAAAAAGCAATTCCTTACCTATGTCATGAAGGTATTTAATGATTTTCCTAGTTTTTAATTTAATTTCTTGCACTTTAATTATAGTCATTGGCCACGGAAAAATAATTCATGTTCACCTCTGTCATCACAAAAGTTATTGCATATCCACAAAAACGTGTGGTAACTATTTAGTATTTCATCAAAAAAATTAATAGCAGTTTCACATCACCCCAATAGAAAGAAAGTCGAAGTGTGATGGGACAACTCACCACATCATGAAAGTCACATATGGGTGGGGCCATCAATGTCAGCTCTCTAGAAAGGCATAGTGCATGCTCCTACAAGTTATTGGCCGATGACAATGGGAAGAAGAGTTGAAGTTAAGGGCGATTCCTATGACCTAAAATTCTAGCAAAATTTTGGAAAGATGACATCATCTCTTGCTTTCTTCTCTTTTTTGCCAACTTTCCTCTTGTATTTGTATAAGGGAGAAGCTCCACCCTTAAGCTAATAAAGAATGTGAGACTAAAACGTGTAAGGGGGAAGGGCATCTAGCAGTCAGCAGTGAAGCAAAAAAGGTTTTGCAACTTAGGGATCCTTTAAGAGCCACAAAGACAAAAAGGTCTATCATTAAAATAATGGACATTAAGTTGTCTGCTAGACATGGGAAAAATTGTCACTTCAATTGAATTCTTGAGTTTAGAATGCTTTCGCCTTCAAATCAAATGCCCGTAGTTAATAAGTAATGGGAACTTTCTACCATCCACCACTTTTGTAGTGTCGATGTAGACCTTCCAATGAGGGCTATAGACTGAGTTGAACCTGCTACCATCACAATCATTCATACATGGAAATAATTATAAGCAAAAACCTCCATGTAAGTTTTGGCCATGACAATAGATTTTTAAGAAGTTTGAAAGCTGCACAACTTATAATATAGTTTAAGTGCAGTAAAAAAAGGGAAACAAATAAAACAAACCTCAACTGAGCCAACATGTTGTGAGAATCCATTAGCAATTGCTGGATTTATGGTGTATTTTGCTATGAAGCGCTTAATTCGGAAATTATCATTATCTGACCCTGCTGGCTCGATTGATCTTCCTCTCTGCAGTTTCATTTTGTGAGCAGTTTGCCATGTCCGAATAATCACCTGAAAATATTTATTTGCCCAAATAATCCTTTTAAGTAGGCATATACAAATGGTTATATGTGTTGTTAAGCAGTAGCCATCACATTTTTAAATTTCAGAGCCAAGAAAGCATCCCAGGCTAATGAGAAGATAAATATTTGACTTGATAGAATGGAACAAGGTTGTGTGCATATTTAAGACGACCAATTCAACCACATGTTTAGTACTGAAACTATTATGCAAAAGTGCATCCTAGGACATGCATGAAATCTGTAGCTTCATGCATGCAATGGTTACTAATAAGTTACCACTGCATATTCCCAACCAGAGGAAAAGTATAGTTGGAAGGTCCTGCTAACTTCCAAAATGGTTGTCATCAAGCTAGGAGAAGATAAAAGACTATGGCCTTTTGAAAAGCCAAGAATGACATGTCATGTCACCTCCTACAAAGCAAAGTACCTTAACTTTGCATGCTGCTCATTAATGCAAGGACTAATAAAGACGTCAATAAAGAAATAATTAACACTTGAATGTGAAATAGTCACATTTTAACATCCTTAAACATGAAGTGTAATTATCACATATTTGCTTTCAACCATCACTCGTGTTTTCCTAGAGTGACATAATGAAAGCATTTTTGTATACCATCATATTGAACTCTCTAACGCTAGAGAAGATTTTGATGATTGCAGATTACATACAATTTAAGTTATTACGTAATCAATAAAATTACTTTCCATGACAAAAGTGATGAGGACTAATAAAAGAGTTCTTATATTTTAATAGGACAAATGAAAGAGTTGCAGATAATAATGATGCTCAAGTGAACAGCGAGAATTCACCAATAAAGATTAGAAAGTTACTTGACCAAGTTTCAGAGAACCTTAAAAACAAATATGAAGAGGGAGAAACTCAAAGGTTCAACAGGAATTGCTTAGGTGGATTAATATTATACAAAGATTGTGGGATAATCTTCACACCTGTGTATATACGTTCAACATATTAGTAGACAGAAAAATGAAAAAAATTAGTGACCATTTAGGTTCATAGATCACAATTGTCCGGTTATCAAAATGCTGATTCTCAAGATCTCAAGAGCATGTAATACTGCGATTTTGGTTAAGGTGTAACAGTAAAATATTCTAAATAAATTATACTTCAAAATTTTAAATTGTCATAATAAAAAAAAATCATTTCATTGCATTCTATAATTCAAGAGGATCATTTTTGATATATAGAACCATAACTACACTCGCTCTCTTCCTTCTCTCACTCGACCACAATTCGCCTCACTCCCTAACTCCTACATTGCACAATCGCCACTCTCCTTTCTCTTGAATGGTCTCTCTCCCCCTCTCTCCATCTATCTCTAGTGTGCGTACACACACAGATACATAAATATATATTTCTAATATAAACTGTTCATGCAACTATATCCTGCTCAAAAACAGTAGGTGGTGAAGCATTCGGGCGGGGTGAAGTGAAGTTTAAAAGCAGTAACCAAAGTTTAAAAGCAGTAAGAAGTTTAAAAGCAGTAACCATATTAATGGGTTGGAGAGAGAAATGAAGTTATCAAAGAAAGTCATTGTTTGATCGTGCCACGGAAAACGGATAAAACATTAAATAGGTTCCTAAGCGATAAAATCACTTGCCACTTAGTAGTAATTGTAAAAAGCTCAAGCCACGAGTACTCGCCGTTGTAGACTCATATTTCCAGAGGAGTGAAAGCTTCTTCGTTCTCTTGTAGTAACAAGCCAAACGATGGATCTTGCTCTCCACAAAAATAAGTCGGAACTTCGAGTCCTTATCCTTCCTGTTCCTTTCCAAGTGCTTTCGGATAGCAACAGCCTTTCTTATTAGATGATATAGATCCTTCGAAATCTCAGGTGCAAGACCATGAGCTTTGAGAATCCTGACAATCTTGCTTCCAGTCAAGCCTTCACCTGCGCAATACCATGCGAGTCACGAAGAATGACAACTAACTGAGAGGTTGTCAAACCATTCTTCGCAACTTGCAAATATTTTCTTCCAGATCCTGGGAAGAGGTTTTGAGCCAGCTTGGGGGAGTTCTCTTATAAGGAAGAGC